AATGCGGCGGTATTTTTAGATCCTCGCATACGCGTTTGCTTGGATACTACGCAAAAAACGCGCGCTAAACAATACATAACTACGCTACATAATCGTATGGGTTCCTTGAAAGGTGAATCGACTAACTCTGAAGCTAATGAAAGTTTTCTGGTAGAGCTTGCTGTAGAAGAGCAGCCGTCTACGAGCAACAGTGGCACTTCTGCTACGGCCAAGTCCTTCTGCGAGTTTTTACAATATTTAGATACCGATTCATCATCAACACCACACTCCTATTTAGAAACCGATATTGCCATGTACGAACGACAACCCAGGTTACCACTTAGTTCGAATATAATCGATTTTTGGTATTATCAACATAATACTCTGGCGGATATAGCACGCATAATACTAGCTATACCATGCACAGAAGTCAGTATTGGATCTTTGTCATCTGCTGTGGATTATATTTTATCGGATAAGCATAATAGATTAAGCGCTTCTAATATAGATCATATATTAAGGGTTAAAGCAAATGGTACTTTCAACTATGAAGAGTGAAGTGAAATACATTACCGCAATACCGCATAATAATTAATTAAAATACGGCTAAATAAGTAGTTGATTAAAAAAACATGCCTTTTTATTGATTAGCATATGATTTCTATCATTTTTGTAAAAAAAAATATATATTTTAATCTTTAGAATTTTATTTTGTCTCTTTTCCCCCAAATAAAACGCTGTGCGCCGAAGCGGGCACAAGCTAGTTTTTTTATTACTTTAATACTTAGAAACTAAAATGCTCTATGTTACGTCTATATTTAAATTTTTATATCATAAGACTGGATTGTCGATTCACTCCTTTCTACACAGTCATGGCTGAATTTTGCTAACTGCTTTTGACCAGGGTGAAAAAGCACTGCAGCGTACCAATGAATGATGGAACTATTTACGAAACAAGTTTATTATTTTATGTGATCGGGTAGACTACAGCAAACAGTATTTAACAAACAACAAATCGTAACAAACTTTTCGAACCAATTTTCCACGAAAGTCTCAAGAAATGCTTAATAGTATCTTTTTTATAGACTTTATTTTTTCAAAGTCAAAGTCACAAACAGGTTGATCAGGCAAATTTCCCAGTGCTAAAATATTTGTTAGTCTCTAGTTTTTTACATTCCGGCGACGGTATTTATGTTGTCGAAAAAATGTCAATGTTAAAAAATTTAACTAAGCCCCCTCGGAATCTATTGCATAGCGAATTTCCAGCAGGGTATGTGTACTTTTGCATGTACTAAACTTAATGTGTTTACATATGTATACCTGCGGAACAATGTGAGAAAGATTTGTTTCGTGTTCTTTTACCGATTATTTCACATGGCGTACGAGCTTGTTTCGTTATAAGCTGCAGGCGTAAATTTATTGTTTTGTTTTCAATTGTTCTAATTCTGCTCAGAAACATTCATACATATGTATGAAACGAAAAACCGACAGAAGAAGAGAGGGAATGGCGGGTGTGGTTTAGATTATATTTATTTTTAGAATGGGATTAAGATTGAGATTAAGACTTCGGTTGAGATCCAGACTGATATCGAGGTTAAGATTGAGATTGGGATCAAGATAAAGACTAAGGATAAGATGAAGATTAAGATTAAGTTTAAGATGAAGATTAAGATTAATGGTGAAGATGAACATTAATATAAAAATTGAGATTAAAATGAGGATCGAGATGAAGATGGAGTTGGAAGAATAATATTGAGATTAAGATTAACATCAAGATAATTGTCCCCTAGTACGCACAAAAATACTCATACATATGATATGGTATATATATACACGGGTAATAGGAAGATGTTTCAATTAGGGATGAAACGATACCATGCAAGTATCGATACCTTTACTTGGAAGTAGTATCGTAAGAAAGTATCGATACCCGAAAAATATAGGTTCTAAAGTATCGATACCTACTCGTATGAAGGTATTCCGTATTAACTGGATTACATTTATTTTTTTTTTTAAGAAATAAATTAATCATCCTCGGCGAATCCCAAACTCCGCACCATAAAAATTAATAATATAGGAACTGAAAATAAATAGAACCACATAACATAGTGAAACTATGTGTTTAATGATGCTTAGTATTTAAAAGAGATAATACGTTGGACAAGTTAACAAGAAGTCAATCTCGGTTAACCTTAGAACCGCGAGTTCGGCACTCAGTGCCCATATTCATGTTTGGTGTTGAATTTCAGGGGTCCAATTTGACAATTTAAAATGACATTCAAAAATAGATGATATGCAAGTAAGTTTTTAAAAAATTTTAAACCCAAATTTTTGCTGTTCGTACATCAAGGAATCCATTTCCTTTGTCGCAAGAATAGGAAAAGTATTTAATTTTTAATTGTTTTTAAAAAGTTTATTACAGCTGTTTTTAGGTAAAAAAAGACAAAAAAATCTAAAATTTAACCTTTGCAAGTCATTTTAAAGATCTAATTGAATGAAAAGTTACCTTGACTTCAAAAGGAAAATCTTTTGATTTTTATTCTTTGGACTTGAGATCAGCGAGCAATGAACTTTAAAAAATTTTGTTGGTTTTTGCGACCATGGAAATGGATTCCCTGATGCAAGAACAGCCAAAATATCTGTTAAAAAAGCTCTTTGCATACTGGTTTCAGGAAAAAAATTAACATCTTCGATATTTGAAGATCGCTCTCGTTTAAACAGCCACAAAGCATTGGGCGATTCATATTAGTGGAGAAAAAATTCCAAAAGAAAATTCGCTTTGGTATCGGCTTTCGATACGAGTATTTTTTTCGATATCTAGTATCGAGTATGTACTTGTATTTACTCGTATCGTTTCATCCCTAGTTTCACTTTAGTCGCGCGTGGGATACACCTACAACGCTGTCGTACTATGTACCCATTTCTTTGGCGTTGAATGTCAAAATGGTCTAAAAGAACTCCCATGTGTCCAGGAGACCTTAATCAAAATTTTGCTGGTCGTAGGTCTCGAAAAGACAATCTCGCGGCTCGCTTAATTCGCGGTACTGCTGTCTGTCTGGATACAATTATGAACGAATCAACTGCGCTGTTAATCCGGATTAACGTTGCCATCTGACTATGTATATCGTTGTTCTGACATTATTAATCGTGGGCGTTGTTCTGACATTATTAATCGTGGGCGCGATTGAAAACGCTGTTCCCAGAACCCTCTTATGAGCCTAGAAAGAGTTTCCGGATTTCGCTTCCCTCTGAAAAATGTAGAGCGTCTCCCTTAATAGGTGGCTGAAAAAATTAACCGATTTTATTTCAGTCGCACCAATTTCTATAGCTATATGAGCACTACGACAAGAATGAAGAATTTCTTAGCTTAGGAATTCGTATATCCAACATTTTAGATTTTTTATATTTTTAATAGGCTTCTCAATTCTGATTCAGTGTGAACCAGAAAATTAATATGCCATGTGCCCTTGAAACGACTAATTAAAAAGAATGTAGTTCAACGTGCTCTTATCGCAGTAATAAGAAAAGAGCGCTACTCCAGTTAGCGAGAACAATTATGTCAACCTATTTATTATGATGTTTCCGCTTCCAATTTTATTCACAAAATCTGGGAGAACTGCGCTGAATTTTTAACAATTCGCAGCACTGCTATCAGCATTGATAAATTTTTGCTTTATTTTCTAACAAAGCGAATGCAACTTATTTATTTTTTAAGTAACTACTTGTAATTGTTGCTGCTTAAGTATTTACTGGCAGTAAACGTTATTTACACAATAGTTAAGTATGTATGTATATAGTATCCGTATTTTTTCGCTCATTTAGTTTCGCTCGCAAGTAATCAGTTTTAACTTGAACGTGCTGATGTATGTATGTATGTATGTACAATAGTGATGCACAGTAAACTTGTTTGTCATTTCTTAACTTAGTTTGTAATATTTAATCCTATTACCTGGTTCAGTGCCTTCGTTGACTAAGTACTTAGCTGAGTATTTGTGCTACAACTAAAATGAGGAGCAGCTGGACAGGCATTTGCAGCGTTAAAGAGTTTGCTGTTCCCAGCTACTAAGTTTCTAATTTGCTGTAAACATAATAGTCTGTTGTTTTTGTTGTTATGGCGCAGAACACTGTCAGCTGCTGACTAAATTATCTAAGCTTCTTTTTCTCTTCGCTGTTGAGATCCGTTCATGTCAGCGTAGTTCACTGTGACAAAACAACTTCTTTTGTTTTGTTGTGTGTTAAAAACTGGAATGGCAGGTGACTTGCACGGTTTTCATTTCAAACTAAGAGTATTTTACTTTTGTTGTTCTTCGCCTCTTCTTATGTGCTTACAAATGTTGATATATTAGCACCATTCTTGTACAAGTCGGTTTCTTTCCACAAACTAATTATTAAATTGTCTTGAATGTATTTCTAATCTTTTTCTGCATATAAATTATTGTTGTTGGTAATTTCTATTTGAGCGAAGTACTATTTTTTTCTTATCTTTCTTGTTGTTTGGCTTTAGTGCTTTTTTTTGTCCATTATTTCTCGTTATTAATTTTTTTCCCGTTCGTACCTTTGCACTAGGGTGACTGATATTTGTGAGATTGAGATAACCAAGATTTTACCCCTCAGCCCTTTTTTGTAAAATTTTTCGTTGTAAGCTTTTTAATACCAAAAATAGCAATTAGGATTTCCATATCACCCGGTAGAAATTCAGCGAAATATTGTAGGCAACACAGGGAAAAAGAAGTACCAGGCTGGTTTCATCAACCGACTCAAGCCAGGAATACGTGGAAGTTCTGTTGGAAAAACACTTCCCAGATAATAACACTAGCCCGTCTATCGGGAAGGAGCGTTATAGTGGGAGAATCGAGAAAGAGAGTAATGTGGGCCATGCCATCCGTCGATCCATTACAACGCTGATGTGAAATCGTGGGACGCCTTCTAATGAGTTTATAAAAGATGCTTGTCGCATAGTTATGTTCCCAAAGTTTGGAGGGAGGTCGAGCTGTAATTAAGTCCAAAAGTAGGAAACTCCTCCCCAAAGGATTTAAGGTAATAAGCTCATTTATCATAAAAACACTTTTCTTCTTATAAGGGAGTGTACTATGTAGTATCCACATGATGGGCATGCCTACCTCAAACGTAGATCGGTCGACATCGACCTCCATGAAGTCATAAGCGCCAAAGAAATATCACTTTAATACTAGGAATATACCCTAGCCAACTTATTGGCTAAGCAATCGATAGAGTGCAGCACAGGGACCTTATCACCCCGTAGTTCTCTTAATCACAGTGCGGTGTGCTATCGGCCTTTCTGTGACTTTTGGTTTCAAATGAACTATTCGAAAACTTTAAAGTAAGGATGACTAAGATATAACTATCTAAAGAAAGGCCTAGTAGCGTACCACACCTGCAAAGTCGCATTCGGGGGGATAAAAACTGGGGACTTGGGCCGTACATCAATCTCGGCATGTACACAAACATCTGACGGGGTGGAAAGTAGTGGATCAAAGTAGCAATAGGAAAATAACCAGAAGACAAAAGGGCACTTTAGACTAAGGGAATAAAAAAAGTGAAAGCAGATCAAATACGGACACTTAAACGAGAACGGTAAAACAGGAGGCCAACTCAGATGTCGGCACTA